CGTTAATACGCCGGCCACGAGCGTTCCATGAGATAAAATGCGACGAAACTATGTTTTCAAAAAAAATATTATGAAATGCGCATTTATAAAAATTTATAAAATACAGGTCCCTTAGGATTCCTATGTGAAAACGCATAAATTTAGAGAGAAGATATTTGTCTTGAATACACTGGAATAATGTGAGTAAATAGACACGTCATTATTTAAATAATGTATGCATATTCATTTTTCAAAAATGAAAAGCATAGATAATCGCATAAAGTATGTTATATTATTAATACTTGATAATGGTCCCTGTTGACTCAAATAAAGATTCGATTCGTGATTTTATAATCTGATTTAATAATTTCAGCAATAAAGCTGTTTACTAACGTTTTCAAATTATTACAGAACTCTGTCGTGCATTTTTATTTTATATTAAATTTTATTTCATATAAAATTCCTGATTCGTATATCTTTTTACTCTCTTTTTCTCTCTCTCTTCCTCTTTCTCTTTTGTAAATATATAATGGTAATAAAATAATAATATAACAATAAATGTAAAAATATCCATGGCCAGAAAATATCTACAATTATTATAGCAAATATAAATATATATATATATATATATATATAGAGAGAGAGAGAGAGAGAGAGAGAGAGGAAAGCCCCCTATTATGAGATAGGCGCCTAATACGAGATAGCGGCGTTTTTGTTAAACTAATAAACGCTATCTATTGTTCCACCATGAATTTATTGCTCTTGGATTGAAAACTATTTAGTATAAAATTCATTATTAGATCATGCCTGTAGTTATTGTATAAAACAAGATTTTAGAATTTGGATATCTTCAAGTTTCATTGAAATGAGCCTTTATACCTTGTTTATTATTTAATAAATAAATATTTGGCAATAAATTTTTCATGTAGTGATAGAGGAAGGGTGTACTAATAGAAAAATACGGAATACGTTGAATTGTTTAATTACAGAAGTTAGATTTGATGATCGTAAAATCATAAGGCGTAGAAATCATAATATGAAATACCAATGCTCCTATGTTACAGTGAAAATCGTTGCTAAAATATAAATGTTATTGTACAATAATAAAAAAGATAACTGGAATAAATGTCAAATGCCTATTTCTACGATGCTTGATTCCAACTATCTGAAGACGAGTTCTGCGTATAATCTATCTGCGCATGCTCATTTTTCGCGTACGCTAGCTGTGTTTGTTTGTATTTTAAAAATATTAAATAAAGTTTTTTAATTGCAATACTGATACTTTGCGTTTTACTATCGATTTCTCGGGGCATATCATATTAGGAGCACAATTTTTTGACTTTACAATTTGCTCACTTTTTACATTTCTTTAATTAAAAAAAAATGGAGTTTGAATTAAATTTGATATAACGTTGTCTTAAAGCTTATTAAATTCCCTTCAAAATGACCTACTATTTTTTAAATTCTGCCTGATAATTGTAAAATAATTTATTTTTAGAATTGATTATGAATATAATAGATATACAACGACATATAACGTAATAGATACAAAACGATTCGTTTCTGAGAATTTCTGAGAATATACAAACATTGCAAGCATACATAAATTGCGTTTCTGGTAATTTATACATTTATTATAATATCCAGAACATTGTTCGTATGATTATTTTGTGCTTGCACGTTACGTGTAGCATTTCTGTATTTGTATACTGCACAGAGACAATATACGTCCAATATATGTACATATGTTGCGTGCCTAACGCCATGCTGTAAATTCGCGTTACAGCAGTTATCATTGATCGCATATAAATAAAAAATTAAGTAAATCCTCCAGTAAAATATATCCTTCATAAAGGATGAAAAATCCAAGATAAAAATATTATCAAGCCGACTATTTTAGATTGTAACATTGAAAATAACGTTATCGCGCGCGCGCACGTTTATCATTATATTAGATACGATCTGAAAATCAGGATGCGTTCGCCATCTCTTTATTTTGTATTTTGTCTTTCAAAAATGACTTTTTGTTAATAAAAAAATGTTAAAAAAGAACATTATTTATTACAATTGTTTACTCTCAATACCTTCCTAAATCCTAATTTTAATAAATCATAATTTTACTTAATTAAAAAAATTTAAAAAAAAAGAAAATTAAGAAAAAGAGCAATAAAAAAAGAAGATCCAAAAAAGCAAGCAATAGAAAAAAATCATAAATAAAAGTATCATATAAAAATAAATACAAATTTTATTTTTTAAACCTGATAGTAACGAGACATTTTCGTCTAACCGAGAGTTTTCTTTAGCTAAACTAAAATAAATAAATCATAAAGTATAAAATTAAGTCATAAAGTTATTACACGTTTTATAAAATAAAACATGTTTACTTTCATTTCATATTTGATACCTTTTTATTGCTTATATCCTTGGCCTTGTATCCTTCTTTTAATATTGTTTTGCAAAAATAAACTTTATATCTATGTATATTCATAAAAAATCTAGTTTTTAAATTAAATATTTAATTGCAGGTGTTATTAAGTTATTAAAATAATTATATAATTCTAATTAATTCTCTGAAGCTTAAAAGCCAGAAATAGCCTCATTTACAACAGTTTATAAAGTAAGTTATTGATCGCAATATTCTTCTATTAAGACAATATTATTATATAAAAAAAAAAACAACTCGAGCGATAAAAGGCAAAAGCGTGTTCGTGCATCTAATAAAAATGTGGGGTACAACGATCGCCGTTTGTTTTGTTTGCCCATAAGCCACGGTTGTAGCTCAACCTGTACACGTAACAATGTAGTTCTTTAAACTTGATAACACGATTCATCACGCCATGACGATTCTGCAAAAGTGAACGCATCGAAACAATCCGCTGTTCGTGCGCCTCTCCGCAATCTAATCACGCGCATGCAATTTACTACTCGCGTGTCGCAACAGCGTGTAGTAAATTCACGTTACACCGATCGTCGCCACAGATTCTATAACCCGCGACGACCTAATTACGTTACGTTGCCTTTAATCGCACAATCCTAAGGTTAGCGGTGTATTCTATGAGATTCATATCTTCCCTTATCGTACCGAAGTTTCCAATTCTTTCAATCTGCAGTTAAAGTTAAATTTCTCAACTCTCTCTCTCTCTCTCTCTCTCTCTTTTGAGATTAAAATAAATTTCCGTATTTTTTTTTCACTTATTATTTGCACACACTTATACGTTCCCTTTTACAAACAATAAAATTCTGAAAAAATAACGACAAAAATGTTAGAATTTTCTGTAAATTTTTTTTCGAGGAAAATAAAATAGATAATTAACATTAAAAGTTCAAAATTGCTATTAAAGATGATCTTATTTTAATATTTGTACATATGAGATTCTTTATAGATACATATTTTAATAGGGCTTTATGTAGCCTTTTTTCGAAAATATATATTAACAGAAATTAATTATAAAATATAAATGATAATACTGAAATAAATATATTTATTTTTACTTATATATCTATCTTAAGGTGACACACTCTGGTAAAATGCGATTATTATATCTGCTTTTTGTCACTGCATGTCTGGACTATATTAACAATTTTTTTATTTCACTTTCGTCAAATTTTAAATACAGGGTTGGCCATATTCGACGGAAAGATGTTTTTTTTTCAATCATGGGAAACGTCGTTACTCGATCTAACATCTCTGTCAAAAGTTACAGTTGAAAAAACATCTTTCCGTCGAATATGGCCAACCCTGTATTTAAAATTTGACGAAAGTGAAATAAAAAAATTGTTAATATAGTCCAGACATGCAGTGACAAAAAGCAGATATAATAATCGCATTTTACCAGAGTGTGTCACCTTAAGATAGATATATAAGTTAAATAAATAGCAACGTAGGAATGTGAAAATTTTATTAAAAGCTCTTTTAAATATAATCCCTATCTCATAAACAAATCGAAAATTAATAAGTATTCTGTTTACATCTTATATAGTGTAAATATCTTCCGAATTTTAAATGAAAGTTTGTATTCTCTATGTTAATTCGTTATTTATTCGATCAGTGTTTGCTCACTTCTAGATAACCTACTTTGTTACAGTGAAAAAAAAGCGTGCCCGCTCTTTTTCACGCGTGGTATCGAGGTAATAAAATCTGTAACGGACTTCCTTGTTAACGAGTCAAGTATTCCGAAAGCGAGTGAAGTTTATCGATCTTACGATCGTACACGTTTGTTACGTGAAGACGTGATTGTTTTATCATAGTAAACGTGTTGTAAATTTTAATCTGAATATATAATCAATTGGTTAACAAATAATTAAAAAGAAAAATACTTATATATAATTAAAATCTGTATAACAATAGCAACAATAGAGAAATAAAAAAAACAAAATAATTAAAGATGTCATGTAACGAATTAAATATGTTTTTCGAGTTTAAGGTATTATTTTTCTATGTAAATAATATTTTATGTAATGTGAAATGATGAAATTGGTTCGAGAAAGACTAGAATAATTTATCGATAATAAATGTTCACGATTAAAATCATAATCAATTATTGCAGTAATTCTTAGAAACGATTTTTGTATAATCAAACTTTGCCAAAATAAAGTTAAATAATGAATGTCTCTTATTAAAAATCATCATTGATTATATAGTAATAATTACAAATAACTTTTTCAATAAAACTTTGTCAATGAAAAAATTAAAGTTATGTTATTACATTGTAGATATTCACATTCAATCTTATTTCAACAATTTTTTTTTGTTTCTTAAAATTTCATTATAATTACAATGTAGATAAGCGATAACAGAATATTATATATACTGAACTTTAATATTTTGATTTAATGGAAATGAAACATGTATGTTTATTTGTTTGTTATTCTATTAAAAAAAAAACGTTTCATAATTGAAAAATTTATTTTAATCAACATAGAGCATACAGAATTCTGTAAATGGTTCAAATTTATTCATACAAATAACTTGCGCGTATTTCTTTGATAGAAAAAAGAAAGATACTTCTACTTCACCGTACCTCCATCTTTGTCATGACCCAATATTTGATCGATGCTGTACACATTTTTCTTCTGATTATAAGTCTGGGCCATATCTGAAGTAAATATCGTTCTTCTTTGGAAATCACTGTCGTAAGCTCCCGCGATTTGCAAATAAATCGCACTACTAAATGACAGTCCTTGATCCACGAAAATCACTGGCAAATCATAAATTCTCCCGGATGACACGCGCGCAAATTGAATCTGCCGCCGAGTCGCGTGTGCCTCCGTCGAATGCGTTTCAGACGGAAGAGCATACGCGAAAGGAAACGAGCGAACGAAAGAAAGAAAGATAGGGAATGAGGAGAGACAGGAGGATGCCGAACGTCGTTCTCCACCTTCACGACTCAAAATGCGTCAATCGACGGCGCACCACGCACTGGCTCGTCGGACATGAAAGCAGCCCTTAATATCGCGTACATCAGCCCCACCTTGCAACCCCTAACACCGCCATATTAGCCCCTCGGCCAATGGGAACGCGTGCTTTTCACCCAAAGCCACCCCGTAATCGGAGGCTGAATGAAGCCTGGGCGGGGAATATTTTGCCCTTTCCGCGTAAATCCCCGGATTTTTTCTGGTTCCCCTACCCGTCTCACCCTCCCTCCCTGTCCGTCCGCCCTCTTGCCGTCTCTTCTCACTCTTTCAACCCTTTCCTCTCCTTCTACGTTCGATCCATCGGCCGATGTTCATCTTCTTCGTTCCTTCTGTCTTCTTCCTTTGCCCCATACGTTCTCCACATCACTTTCTTTCCTCGTTCTTTCTATCTTCATTTTCTTACATGATTTTTTTTATCTCTTTTCCTTTTTCAAAGACGCCAAATTTTGTCGATTATGGATAATTCAATGACAATATGTCGCGTTACATAATTTTATTTTCAATTAAGAATCTTATATTTCGATTTTATTCATGCTGCTAAGTAAAATTGTTATGTATAAAAAAAGTAAAATGTTAAATTATATATAACACTTTACTTTTTTAAAAAAGTAAGCAATGAGCAATATAAAAGTGATAAAGAGAAACGATAACATTTTGAGTTTAAAAATTAATATTATTTTACACATTGATCTAACAATACCTAATCTTTCTCTTTAAATTTCCTCGTTTTAATTTTCATTTTTTTAAATTTAATCTTTATTACAAATTTTTAATTGGTTGAGGAAGATTCAGTTGAAATGCTCTTATATTTGTTGAAAAAGCTAGTTGTATTTCTTTTTTTTTAATTTTAATGGACTAGTTTTTATTTGTTGGTCTAATTATTTCCTTATTTCTGAATCTCATTTTTATCACAAAAAAAAAATAAAATTATATTCATTTGAAAAATAACTCTATTCTTAAACAACTCATAAATCTGAGCAGTTTATTAGTAATAAATTTATAAGAGCATATTAGAAAACAATAACTACGTTACACACTTACAAACAAATAAATATTACATAAATATAAATATAATATAATAAATTTAATATATAAATATAATAAATTTTATTACCAAGTCTTTAATTATTGAAAAAGAAATTCGTATTTTTTACAGATTATTTCTATGTTGCTCAAGACAATAGGTATTCTTGGAAAAATTGTCGAAAAGATTCTCTAAGAGGTCCTTCAAATATTCTTCTGAACTACGATCTGTTTTTACTTTTGTCTGACTCGTTTCTGATTGTGCATCATAATACAGCTCGAAACTCTTTCAGGTATTTTTGTCGCTTTTAGTAAAACACACACATAGACACACGTGCACACGCACACACACCAGTACACACATGCACAACCTCAAGTATAAAATTTATGAAATATTTCTAAAAACATATTACACTCTTCTAGATTTTATCTTACATTATAAGTTGTTTTTAAGATAAAAAATGGATAACGCATATTAGTGATAAAATTACTTATTAATTAAATTATTAGTAATAAAAATATCTGGAAACATTTCAAATTATCGCACATGCAAAATAGAATAAAATCCAGACTACCAACTATGTATAATACACCGATTCAACTGTCAACTCTAAACTCTGCCAACTTATAATAAATCAATAAAGTTGATTCATTATATATGATTGGTTTATTATATATCAACAATCAAAATTGGTAATTGGATCGGTCTGTAAAGTCAGTAGTTTAATATGGGCTTAATACACAGACACGTTCCAAGAAATATTTTGCAAGGTTCGTCCTCAGAGGGAAAGATATATAGCGATGGCAAAAAAATATAAAAAGTAACAACTATGTTGTATAAAATTAATATATATAATTAAATAAATTATTTTATAATTATTGGAACTATAAAGTAATTTAACTGTACGATAGATAAGTTAATAAATAATCTTAATTTTATTCTCAACAATTAAAATGTTTTTTAATTATTTTTATTAGGGTGAAGAGGAATTTAAGGGGAGCCTTTAATTTTTTTTCTTTTGATTTTTTGACAGAAGATATTTAAAACTTAATATAGCACTTAATCTAGCATTGGGTGTTTCCAATTTTCTGTTATTATTTCTCCGATGCTCTTAAATACATTTAAATGCACGATTTAAACTCAGCAATAACTTTAAAAAATTGAAAATAAATTAATCAATAAAGACTCTTGATATCAAATAAACAATATATATAATAAAAAGAGCATGTAAAAGTCAGTTATAAAGATTGTATAAATAACAAATAAATAAAAAATTAAGGCTATAAAATCCTGCTATAATTAAATTAAGTGAAAATAATAATCGCAGCATAACATGTTTCGGTGGTTAATTTGAACCATCTTCAAATGTCATAAGAATGCATAAATATTATACATTGAAAAACAAGAAGTAATAGAAATGTTGTAAAAATGCGTTGTGCGATGCCCGAGTGCTTTACTGAGTACACGAAATTGTTCGCAAACGATTGGAAGATCGATTGTTGGTGAATTCGATAATCTGATAAAAATGATGGGTATGATTAATTGATAATATAATACAAAGTATACAAACAGAATTGTCACTTCAATAAAAAAAACTCACCAAGCAGATTAATACTTGACAGATTAATGCAATAACTCACTCCGATGTTTCACATGATATAAAACCAGATGTTTAACAATTAAATAAAATAGTCAGTGGGTATAAGTATGAATATGAGAAGCCACTGATGTTGTCAAAGTTAAAAATTAGAATCGGAACGATAGTAAAAAAGCAATTAATAGTCAAATGATAATGATTAATAGTCTCGACTTTCTAAAACTTTTAATACCCGGCCCGAAGCAAAAATACGTCCACCTCAAGCAAGCCATTCATAGAGATTAACAATCAAGATGGTAAAGATTAAATTATTTATTTACTCATTGACGTATATTAATTTATTTAACTGTGTATTTTAATTCTACATATAACACTTGTATAGTTGTCACCTGTACTCTTTAAATTCTCTGGAGTGAAATCTCATTCTAAAGAGTGAAAATTAAGTCAGTTTTGGAAAAGTGTGGCCCAATTTTTTATTTTTTTAAGAGTAAAATTTCACTCTTTAGAGTGAAATTCACTCTAAAACTTTTAAAGAGTTTATAAAAGAGTTGTTAAAAGATTAAAAAAGCTTTTATAATTGTCTATGTTTTTCTCTGAGTGTAAATCTACGAAAAATAAGTATAAACGAAGACTTCTTTATGGAGAGTTCTTTGTGAAGCTTTCCACGCTCAGAGATCCTGTGAGTGTTGAATTTTCACATCCAGAATTCGGGATATTTAAAAAAAAATAGTTAGTTTTTGACAAATTTTGAGTGAATATATAGAAATATACTTTGCACATACAACAAAAGAAAGAAAATATTTATGTTACTTTAAAATTACCCCTCTCTCTGTTTGAATGAGACATTCCACATTCAGAAAAGTCAAAAGTCTCCGTCCCTAAAAATAAGATTGTCCGGCATTTCACTAATTTATCTGACCGAAACATTTTTGAATGAAAGCTATCCTAAATCAATAATAGTCTAAAACCGTGACATTTCATTGTGGCAGTGAGAATTTGCTTTTTCTAAATCAATTAGATAATATCTAATATTATACAAGACTAATTTAAAAAAGAAGTAATTAAATTCCATATATTACCATAAATTACGAATTGTAATTTTTTTAAATTTTATATCACAAATTTTTTGGTTTCACGTATTTCATGTCAACAGCGTTCAAGAAATAGTTTAATATTCTGCGGAAGAAATTGTCGTATATTGAAAATTATTTGAAGAACATAATACTAATTTCTTCGTTGAAAATTTATCAATACAGTTTGTCTTGTAGCGAATCCATGCGACTTGGTAGTTCGATAAAACGAGGTATCGGATCTCCGCATTGATTTAGTCGTACAGAATGTTTGTCGCCATCTGTATAAAGGCGTGGGTGTTCGATCTCGTCTCTGCTTGCCTCATAGGCGGCTTTATCATGCAAATATGGTATCGATACTCGGTTGTTGTGACGATAAAAAATAGATTTCTCAAAGTGCTACTCCGATATGACTAATAAAGCCTTCAAATAAAATCACGGGAGTACATGATATTTATATCATCAAGTTATCATAATATGCATGTATAAATATTTAAAATACAATTTATTTTATATTCTGTATGAATGCAAATCCGACTATATATTTCTTAAGGCATTTATGCTTTCAATCATTATAAACCATTATAAAGAATCATTATCAATATTCAATTGTTATCAATCATTATAAAGAAACATTTTTAATTTATCACAATAAACTATTTTCATTAAAATAAACTTTGATCAAAAACCAATCTTAAAACATAATAATATATAATAGTTTATTATTTGAAAGTGCAAGATTTTTTTTGGAAATATATAGAATAATATTGACAAACTAAATATCTGTGAAAATCTATAGAAATATCGTAAAAAAAAATAATTCTATTAATCCCTTGCAATCGTTGTCGGCAATCTGCAATTAACAGTTTTGAAAAATTCAAAGAATTAATAAAAAAAAATTCCGGTTTTTGATGCTCCAATATTAAGATTATTCGCATCACTTCGTTAGTTTAATGTAGAAATATGTATTAACAGAATCCCCAAAATTAGATTTTCTCAGGTAGAACTGGACTGAAAAATTTTTCTAAGATCTTAAAATTTTCGGCTTGCATATTCCTAAAGATTTTGAATTCATATACATATTATAGTTTTGCAAGTTAGAAGAAAGTTATTATAATAATTTAAAAATCAATAAATATATTTATCATCATAGCTCTGCAGATTTGTTATTTTTCTGAAATATGTATTACTGTATTGCAAATCGTTAAGATAATTGCAAGATAATAATTGCAATATAATTTCTTTTCAAATAATTTCACTTTCTAGATTTGAATTTCAAAGAAATTTATTCACTC